ATGTCAAACCACAGAAGGCCATGTTGTACAGGAGAGTTGTTCGGCCTTGGCTTGGATTTAAAATGCTCGATCTTAATGACATGATCATTGCTCAACTTAAAGAGAGAGATGTCACATTTCCTAATGTCAAAAAAGGTGTCCTCGTAGCTATGGTATGTTTTCTTCCCATTTTGTTGTGTTTCTGACTTTTTTTATATGCCAGCTATATGGTGTTAATGATCTTGTTCCCAACCATTTAAATATTTATGGGGAGTCTTTGTGCCCAGTCACTTTTCGTATTAACTTGCTCCAAATAATGCCCAGGTGACTCCTGGATCTCCTGCTGATTGTGCTGGATTCCATCCTGGTGATGTTGTCATTGAATTTGACGGAAAGCCAGTTGAATCTATCAAGGAGGTATTCAGCCATTTTCTTTCTTTCTGTTTCATGGTTTTGCTGGAGGAGAGGTTTTGGCTTGTAGATTTTGCTTGGAAGACCTTTTGCCTCCATGACCTGGTTGCATGGTTTAAATTTACAAAAATTGTGCTACAGAAGCAAAATAGACTAAAAACGTAGACATAAAATTATCCTATCAGAATGCATTCTTACTGGGAAATCTGCATGAACTGTTCTTGCTGAGGTTTTTACCACTGAATCTGTGGCAGATCATTGAGATAATGAGTGACAGAATTGGAAAAGCAATAAAGGTGGTTGTGAAAAGAGCAAATGATGAAACGGCCATTTTGACAGTAATTCCAGAGGAAGCCAATCCAGATATGTGAGATACTACAGTTCTGTTGTTTCAGGTTTTCTGTTGATGTGTATCATATTTATTGCTTATATTATATTCCATATTTCTGAATCTTTGATTTTTCAGATCTTCATAGATGATGAATAAATATCTCCAAGAACCATTGTAAGTTATAAACCAAACAAAACCAGTTGGACTAAAAACCTAAAACCGCAAAATTTCTTGGCTTTTGCTTTATCAGTAGGTTAAGGTTTTGTGTCATGCCAAACAATTAATCCTTTAATCTAATGTATTAAAACAAAATTAGGTAAGGCTCACTAGTATTATGATATTATCTTGGACCATGGCTTTATCATTGAAAAGGTTTTTATTGCAATTTCTTGATCTTCAACCGACCGAATATTAGAAACAAAAAGAGGTAAGTCTTCAACATGACTCCTTGTCCACCTAATGCACTGGGCCAATTCGCCTGCTACAACTTGGTGCTGGCCAAAACCCAAGGATCGAAACTGATCTAAAAAGAAAAAATGAATAATGTACTAAACTTAAGACTGTACTAAAGTAGAGAGACTAGCCAATGCAAATATCTCATTTCCATCCTCTACCTTCATTTCGAACCTGCACTGCACAGCACCCCGCCGCGTGTGACATTGGCAGCGCCACCGGAGTGACATCCTGATCCGGCCGACATGCCGGTTTCCAAAAACAGTCCCACCGGACTCACCGGACGCTAAACCATTGTGAGGAGGAAGCGCATGAGAACATGCATTTATGGTTATTTTAATTTCTATTTTTCGGATGGCAATGGTTATTTTAAGTTTTAAGCATACGAAACAAAAAATCGTGAATTATCTTTATTAAAAGACGTGTTCCAAACATCATGGATCTGGATTTCTACTTTCTGCTCCTATCTTTAGCTAAAACTGCTGAAGCACCCCTCCCACGCCACTGCTCCAGATTAGCTCAGCGATCAAATAATATGGAAAATTTAACCAATTTCTTTGTATTGTAATTTGGGAGACCCTTAGTACGCCCTCCATTTAATTATAAATAAATATATTTTCACAAAAATAAAAAAGATTGCTAATCTTATTTACATAACTAAATAATTACATTTTTATTAATAATTTAATAAATTAATCTTCTACACACTAATTTTGATATGGGTGAAAACAATATTACTTACTATTCATTCAGTTAAAGTTAAATGATTCTTAACCTTAGTCTCTTTCTCCATTTCTCAAAAAAATATAGTAATTTAAAAAAAAAATTAGTCTTCTACACACATTTAATATTGAAAACCATTCCAATATCAAATTTTGATAGATTTCAATTCTAAAAGGATAAATGATAAACAAAATACTA